AAAAGGGTAATCACTGGGAAATGGCTGCCCTGCTAGGGACTACATTTCCCAGCTGCCTGATGTCTAGGTATAACCACAAGACTAGGTTTTCCCTGTTATTTGAGTGAAAGTGATGAAAGTTCTCTTTCTGAAGCTTTAAAGTAATGGCTATGTCTCTTCCACACAATCTCTGCCCCTTCTGCCAGCTGGATGCTCAGTGACTGGAACAGGGCTGTGTGGCAGAGGCAGAACTAAGGCTCTGTGCTGTTACCATGGAAACCTCAGGCTGCAAACCATGGGCATGGCTTTGGAAGAGGCGGGTAAGAGTCAAGAGTGGAAGAATGGGCAGTCTCCAGCAACCCAGTGGAAGAGAAGAAACCCCTTTCATGAAAAAAAAAATCACCTTATGAAAATAACTGTTTCAGTGAGGAAAAGGAGGTTGGGTATTGGCTTCACAGTGCAATTTTTCTTACAGGAATTTCAGTAATAAAAGATGTTTCATGAATTTAAGTACAGAGCTATAAAACCTAAACATCACCGAGCAAGTCCCGGGTCTGACTGCCTCTAGGTTTTGCATGTATTATAACTGACAGGCCTTCTTGCATGTTTTTGTTGTCTCTAAAAAACAGCAGCTGTATGGGACTGTGAGGGAATGGCTCCAAGACCTGGATCCACTATTACAAATGTTGATCTCCCTATTACCCACGGCAATCATAGTATATCAACTTCTCCCTACAAAAACACATGCTTTAGGTTTGATGCCTAGACCTAGAGTCCTGGGATAGTCTAGGCTACTGTAAATCACACGTTTATACTCTCTTTACTGATATCAAAGTTGAAGCCAATTGTCCCTTGTTTCCAAAGTTGGCTCTATTCATTTTCATAGATGTACATTCGAAATGAGTCTTTTGTTCTTTTCCCCTCATATCATGTTACCTATTTTCATACATTTTGAAGCCATTAATGCCACTCCCAAACAATTCCCTTTAATCCTACTTGAATCCTAAACCAAGTGTCTGTGGACTCTCCTTCCTTTGGATCTTTGATCTTGTATTATATTTCCTACTTCTTCCTTTGAATAGACATTATCACTCCTATGTAAAGCCATCCCATCCTTCTCTTCATTTTCCTCTTTCATTCTTGCTTCTTTGCATCCTCTCCCCATCATGTATCTTCTGCACACTCCCACTCCACCTTGGGCCACCCTGTCTCAGCAATTTAGCTTTATTCACTCTATTTTTCACAATCCTCTGAATCCCCTTTTGCTAAGCATTGTCTCTTTCCCTTCCAACTCAAGGGCACATCTTGCTTCAGTTCACATCATCTTTCCCTCTGCTCTTTACCTTTCCTTTTTCTTCTATTGTTATACACAGAGCAGCCCAGGAACAGTTTGTCTTAAGGGGTAAAGCTGGCAAAAGAGCGGGATACAGGGAAGCTGGAGGGACAGGACCAGCAGAGCAGCATATAAGGTTAGCGTCCCCAAAGCCACCCTCACATCCCAAGTGCCTGAGCTAAGTGAAGTCCAAAAATTCCTAGCAAAATGAGGAAAAGTCAAGTGGTCCCCATGGTTTGGTAAAGAGAGATGTAGCAACAGAAGCTGGCTGAGCCTTCTGAAGAGTCCATTCACAAAAAAAGAAATATTCATGGCCATTAATGATATGAAAAGATGTTTAGCCTCACTAGGAATCAGGGAAATGCAAATATGTGCCTATCATATAGGTAATGATTAAAAAGATGAACGTTAAGCCATGTTGGCAAGGGTGTAAAGAAACACTCTCATTGTCAATGATGGAGTAAGTTGACAGGTTTTCTATAGTACCATTGGCAACATATATCTACACTTTAAACATCTATAGTCTTTGACCCTGCAACTTGAACATGTAGGATTTAGCCAAAGAAAATAATTAGATGAGGAAACAAAGATATGGATATGAAGTCATCAATAATCTCTGCCTTGTTTACAACATAAGAACAAAGTGAAGTTGGCTGGCAAAGGGAGGTTCCTGCCTGTGGCAACAAGTGGGGGTGGAGAAGCCGGACAAAAAAAGAAGCAGAGAAGGAAGGGAGGGAAGAAGGGGAACAGCAAGAAGCACAAGAGACAGGGGTGTGTGGAGACCATGAGGGGGAGATAGAGAGAGGCTTGCAAGGGTGGGAAAGAACCAGGGGTCAGGAGGTAGTAGGTGGGCCTGAAAGGAAAGCCTGTTGAAGAGAAAGAGAGGGGGAAGGAGAAAGGGGGTGGCGGGGGGAGACAGAGAAATCTCCATCAATACACAATCAATCACGGTATATACTTATCATATGGGCATTGAATGGAATGATACAATTCTCTATATGAAACACAAAGATGGCTAATTGGAAAGAGCAGGATACAGAACAGAAACCATAATGTGATTCCACTTATCTAAAGTGATACCTAAAGACAACTGCAGCAAAGGGACGATGATATGTGTACGTGGTTCTCACTGGGTGGATTCTTCTGGTAGGTTTAGACTCTGGACTCTTCTAGTAGGTTTTGACTCTATTTTGTGCATTTCTAGTTTGACAGAATTTTAATAATTGATTTCTAGCAATATTAAATACCCTAAAAGTCTACATAATTTAGATAGACCCTTGTACTCTTCTGTGAGAATTAACTAACATAGAAATAAAGTAGATGCAAATGACACCACCTGCTTTTCATACTGCAGAAGCCTCCTATTCTTCATGTGATAAATGTAAACTGCTCATTAAAATTTAATCTGTATAAGTTTGTACTGAAAAGATGGAACTGGGCTATGAATATAGACATCACTCACCTAGCTAGTCATTGTCTAAATCTTACCTTTATCAGAACATACCACAAGGGTCCTTGCCAGGGTATTTATCAAACCAAAATACTTTTCATCTTGAAGTCATACTGACATTGGAGATAGCAAAGGAAATTGTCTTAATTCAGGTTCTCCCTAAAGCAGCCCCTGAGACAAGGGCTTAAGAACAGGTATGGGGAAAGTGAGACAGGGCAGGAGGGAAATAAGCCAAGAAAAGATACTTAATGAATCGGGTATTATGTCAGGCAATTGGGGTTTGGTGCCTCTGTGAGCCTTCTGAGGAACTTAGCAGAAAGAATCACAGAATTGCCCACTGGGGTCAAGGGAGTCAAGGAGCCTTATCCTCATCAGTGAAGACTTTCCCTTGGAGCCTTAAATTATTGGTACTTGCAGGCCATGGGAATAAGGGCCTCAGATGCTTACTGAGGTCTATGGGTCAAACACAGTACTACAGGTTGAAGATCTCTAATCCCAAAATCCAAAATTTTTTTAGTACCAACATGAAGCTCAAAGAAAATGCTCACTGGAATATTTCAGATCTTAGACTTGTAGATTAGGGATGCTAAACTGGTAACTATATAATGCAAATATTCCAAAATACACAAAAGTCCAAAACTCAAAACACACTTCCAAGCATTTCAAATAAGGAATATTCAATTTGCATTCAGATTACGTTATTATCTTACCAAAACCTTACAACTCCCTGGAGTATTGACCCTATTTTATAAATTGGAAGTCTGAAATGCACAAAGATTATGTCACTTGATGAAAATCAAACAGTTAATAAGCAGCTCAGCTGAGCTTTAAATCTGGTTTTGTCTCTTCTACTATATGATGCAATGTCATAAAAACCACAGCATGTCAATTGTCAAAGGCAGCTGGCATCCCCTTGCTAGGTCACATGGCCTGAAAGATGCTTGCATATTTCTAGCCTCCCTCCTTGCAAGGGAAAGGTATTATGATAGCTGCCCAGATTGTTTTAATCTTCTTGCATCCACAGAAAAATCTTCCAGGTCATAATCCATCAGCCATGTGAAATTTTTATAGCATCATCATCCATGGTTACTCACACCCTAAATACCAGTTACTATGAAATTATGCCAGAATCTGGATCAAAGTATGGGGGAAAATTCAAGGCAAATTTTTGTCTGATGAACTCATGGCAGAGAGTTACATTTGATAGAGAGTTCCAGATTCTAGTATATTAAAAAACAATCTATAACTTTACTGTGAGGAGAGTACTTTATTAGAACAAATAAAACATGCTGAACTCTGCCTGGACACAGAGGTCATGCTAATGTGTGAGCCAAGGAAAGTCTTTTCTTGCTTTAGTAGAAAAGATAGTAATCTGCAAATCACTAGCATCTGAGGCTGGCTTGATTTAAAATGCACATACAGAAAAAGTTCCAGGACATCATTGTATTTATAGCTTGCCTGCATGAGTCAGTGGAAAGGCCCTTGCTGCTCCCAAAATAACACTCAGAATGGCACTGTATCCTATCACCTTCACTAAAACAAAGGCATGTCTCTCATCTTCCATGCCTTAGGTTCCCTAGGAGGACTTCTACTTCACAGGAAACTGAGGAGCAGGCAGGCCCCTCTGGCCTCCCCCACCCCAGCCCAGTTATATAGCTGCTGGCTCAAGAAAGTCCCATTCCCAGAAACCCCAGAGCAGCCCGCCTGAAGGAACCCTTGCCCTAGATCCCACCAACCACCCAACCTCTGGTCAGATTTAGAGCCTCCTTAGCATTAAACCCTACAGGACACAGGATTCTTCTCCACGAGGATAAAATTCAAAAGAAGGTTCTGGCTAGGCACTGATCACCAAGATCTTTCACAGAAGAACAGCACAAGCATCTGAGGAAATGACAGACAGCAATCATCTTGTTTACAAATTACCATGGTGCAGAGAACAAGACTCCAGCCACGCAGTCAGCAGGCTGCCTAGGGGTAACGCATTTATATCCTCTTGGTAGAGAATTTCATAAGTCTCGATCATAACTCAAATGTGGGCAAGGCTCCAGACACATGTGCTATATATCTGTCTAGAATTGCTTTCCCTCCCAAGAATCTCATAGCCACATGAAGACATTCACGGGATGGGAAACTGCTAGGTCTGCTCTTTCTCCAGACTCACAGAGGCTTCTGTGGCAGAAACACAACCACTGGCTCCAACAGGAAAAGGAAAGGCTCGGGGGAAAGGGAGCACTTCACCTGGCACACTGGGCTGGAAGACTTTATTCAGATCCAAGGAGGAGGCTCTGGAATGGGTTTTCTGTGGCCGCGGTGGCGGGGTGGGAGGGTCCTCACCCCTTTTCATAGCCTCTTCTATGGAGGTGCTAGAGTAAGATCTGTAGCAAAATAAGGGAAAGTCAGAAGGGAAACAGCAAAGCTTTACTCTCTGAAGTTTGGCTGAAATGGAAAATACTCCCAAAGTCAAAGTGACTGCAAAGAATTGATAAGCTACCAAAGCAGCCATAAATTCTATTATCTTTTAGAAGCCACTATGTACAATAATTGTCGAAATTTAACCATGAATTGGGGCCTTTTAACCACTTTGTTCTTATTATGCCTTAGATATAAATTCACCCCCCCCAAAAAAGACTTTGTGTAAATTCAAATGCATTTCTATTGGAATTGTTAATAAGAATAACATGTAACCCTTCAGGTTAGGCACTTCCCTGTTTTAACAGAAGGGCTTCATGGCACTAACTGATTGCAGAACTTTTCTCCTGTTTACTTGCAAATGTGATGACAGGCCCATTTGGAATTGGCACAGATAAGCTGAGGGGTAAGACTCAAATGTTCAAGGGAATACGCCACAAAGGAAAACATACATCAATCAGGTTGTAGGATCTAGTTTGTCTTGCCCTGAGAAATACTGATTTTGGAAATTTTCAAAGCAAAAGCTTCATTTTAGCCTTCTTCCTCAATCTGCAGCAAGGCACAGTTAACTAGGCCACTTCTGAGATTGTAACTCCAATGATGGCATTTTTAAGAAAATGGAACTAAATAACTTGCCAAGGTCACAAAGATAGAAAAGTACATAGGCTCAATTCAAACTCCAGTCTTTCTCTGTTTCTAAATTCCATTTTTAAGATGTTCTCATTCTGCCTATAAGCTAGAGGGGAAAAACACTTTTGGTGGTAGCAGCTAGAATATTTATGAGACCTACTAATTTTCTAAGTTAAATTCAACCATCCATTGGTCGATTGTTTAGGAATAGGCTTAGGGATGAGTTCCCAATGTGATGATCATGAAATGGATCTAGGAAGTGGATGTGTACATCTTTCTATTTAGCTTCTCGGTTAACCTCATGTCAAAGCAGAAAATGACCTTTGAGTCAGAGAGATGTCCTAGAGACAAATTAACCTCAGAAAACTGTTCTTCCTCTTTAGCTACTAGAGGGGCATTTAGGAAATTAGAATCTATCAATTACCACTAAGCCCCTTCAGTTCTTGGCAGAGCTGTTTTTGACACAGCAAGTTTTGTTTTCCTGAATACGTTTCTCAAAGTTTCTTTGTGGTAGTCGAGGGTTGTGTCTGTCTTGCAAGGTTGCAATCTTTAATAAAGCCACCGTAGGGACATGCGGCATGCTCTGGGGTAGTCTCTGTAGCATAACTGGCAAGACAGGCAAGGCACAGGCAAGTAGAAACTAGCAGGGAAGACTGCTCTAACACCTTCAACCAGAATCAAAGAGAACTGACACGAAAGGACAAGGTTTTTAAACAGGAACTCTTCGTTTAGAAAAGAAATTAGAAGTCCTAGTTAGAAATTTAAAAAACTTTCTATGCCACATATAGCTTTAGTGATATTTTTCACTAAAGAAAGAAAAAACAATGTGTGTAAAAAAAGTGTCTGTGCATGCACACACAGACATACAAAGTTAAGTGCACTGTCCGTACCACATACCTCACTTCCATTATTTCCATACATAACCTGTATGTTTATATTTTCACATGGAAAGTCACTAAATATCAAAAAAGTGATATTATGTACTTGTAATTATGACTGCAACCAATAAACATATAAATGTGCAAAGAATTGACAAAATGATGAACGTAGTAGTGTTAGAATGGTGATTTTCCCTCTTTCCCTTACATTTTTACAAAGCTTTATTTTTTAAAAAAAGAATAAAAATAATTGTATTCTTTTGGTTTCAGTAAAGACCCAGTTGGAAGAAGTGAAAATTAAATCATCCAAATTAGACTAGAAGGCCAATCTTTGAAGTTGGATAATATGTAAAATTTAGTCAGACACATTAATAATAGAATATATAACTATGAGGTTTTATAATTTCACTTGTTTAGGAGGAGAGAGGAAGTCAGCAGAAGCTAAAATTGTGAGGTTCAGGCCAGGCTCTGTGGCTTAGCTTGCAATCCCAGCACTTAGGGAGGCTGAGGCGAGTGGATTGCCTGAGCCCACAGGTTCAAGACAAGCCCTGGCAACTTGGCGAGACCTTGTCTCTACAATAAATAAAAATATTAGCTGGGTGCAGTAGCACATGCCTGTAATTCCAGCTACTTGGAAGACTGAGGTAGAAGGATCACCGGAGCCCAGCAGGTCAACTCTGGGATGGCCGTGAGTGTGCCACTGCACTCCAGCCTGGGCAACAGAGTGAGACTCCAACTCAAAAAAAAAAATTGTGAGGTTCAATTTATGATTAATGTACACATAAGCATATTTCTGCAGTTCAAAGGTGTTGCCTACTGCGAAAGCATATAAATATTACTACTCCCATATCCCAAAGCTAGTACAGACTAATTTGTAAAAAGATTCATTCATCCTTAAAGAAAAGGATGAGTAAATGTGGTAACCATGGAGAGTAAGAATGGCTACAACTTTTCTTCCTATCAAAATGAATTACTCTATTTACTGTTTTAAATATAGATAAATATGTAAATATAGATATCTGTGCCTTCTATAAACAAGGGGGGAAAAAACCAATTTGGAAAATGCAGGCATAAAAGATAAACTAAAGGATAACTCTTTGCTTTACAAAGAGATGAGATTGCCTTTAATGTCAGTATTTCAAGTATATAGAAGATGATCAGTCTTGAATTTACTTTTTCAGTAATGTGACTAGTAGCAAAGAAAGAAAAAAGTCACTAAGAGCCAAAGCAAAGCTTAGAAAACACACACATAGTGAGTTATCTTACACCGCAATTCTGGTGAAAAGTGGTTCCAATACCATTTTCCCTCTTTCATGGATTAATTATATTAGAGTTTCTTTCTTTCCTCTCTGCTTCTCTTTTCTGAGTCTCATGTCAACCACAGCTCTGCCTTATCAGCTCTCCCTCTCCCACTAGCCTCTAAAAAGAATGTGAAGCCAAGAAGAGGTGCTAAAATAGGCTCAAACAGACCATAAGCACTGCTTACCTGAAGCTTCAAGCCTCCCTGAAGTTATCACATGCATTTTTTAGATTTTATTCCCCAGACTTCTTATTTTGGAGTGTTGACCTTGTCATAATAACAAACTTCAGTGTCGTTACCGTTTAACCACATTTTCCTCTTGCCAAAGCTACTCCCCTATTAGTTATCATCTGCAACCACTGGGTCATCTCACACGATCCACCTTACATCAGGAGGCCAAAGAACATCAGCCACCCTCTTCTAGAACTAATGATCACAGAAATTAAGAGACTGCCAGCATCACTGTATGTTTCCATTAGGCCAGGCACAATGAAGGAAATGGTTCATATCCTAAGCTTTAAATCTAAAGGAAGAAGAAATCATGAGTTGGGTTTTTGGTTTGAGCTTTTTTTTTTTCTAGGCAGGGACAGGGCACAAAGGACATTAAAGCAGAAATTAAACACTACCTGGATCTTGGTCTTGCTTTGAGACTGTTGGAATCCTTGGGAGTTGCTGAAACAAAGATTATTTGTTGTTTGCTTGGGTTTCATTTCTGTAGTTAAACAGGTTTATATACAGCACCTGGGCTAGTACAGAACACATCAATCAACAGGTAAATGTGAGGTATAAATGTCCACGTGGAGAACATGATGGCTTCCACATTTGCATGGTTTCCTCATGTTACTTCTAAAGCTACAGGCACAATTAAAAGGAAAGAAAAACCAGCATATTTTGTCTTTTGACAGAACACTTATCCGAGAAGCCATTCTCAAATCCAAGTTGATTCATGAAGACATTCCAGTGTAAAAAGACAACCCCTTTCAAGGAGTTATCTTTTTATATAATGATGAATTCTTACTTGAGGGTTTGTTGGTCTAGCATAAGAGCCTAGTAATAGATTTGGAACCAGTCTCGCCTGAAGGCTATGAGGAAGGCTATCTTGCTACACATGTTTTAAAAAATCTACTAGCAGAGAAGCATTGTCATCACAAGAAAGAAAAGCTCTTGCAAATATGGTGAAATGAGCTATGTAGCTTCTCCTGTAAGAAAATATACTTGTGCCCCACATCTCTGTGACCAAATCATCCAGAGAATATTATAAAATAGAATCCTTAAGATATTTTGTCAGCTATGTCTTTCCTCACCAAATTTAAATCAAAAACTAGCTTGCGAACTACCAATACCCATGGAGCCTACTTTCCCAACACAAGTTGTAAGGACTAATTAGAAACATTTAGAAAAACATTAATCCTCTTTTTATGTTTTCAATCCTCTATGAAAGACTTTAGAAACAAGTAGCTATGCTAAGGTTTTGCAAACATTGCAAATTTTTCATCATAAAATGTCATTAAAAAGTCATAGAAAAAGTGCTACTAAAGAGGAACAAGGAAAATATAATTTATTTGTTTTCACAAATTCTTCCAAAAGGAAATGCCTCACTGTATTACCCCATCCTTTCTGACATTGCTCTAAAGCTAAAACCCCTCCTCAGCATGAAGCAGCCTGAATTGATGATGATCATTAATATCCTTGGGTTAGATAAGCAGGGCAAAAAGGGAGCTGAAAATCCTCATAAATGTGAACAAGGCACAAAACAAATCACCGATGTCTGTTCCCTTAGATGTAGTCAGCTGCAGAGGAGATGTGCTTTTCCCTGCCTAAGCATTTTGGCTTGTTGTGGTGAGAACATAGGCATCATTTGGCTTCAAACAACCGCAATGCTTCCATAGTACAGGAAAGCCAAGGAGTTTGAATCTGCTCTTACCCATTATCATTTGGCTAGAGATGAAAAAAGAAAGACCTCCCTTCCTCCTACAAACTCCAGGCAGCAAAGAAATATGGCCTAAGGGAAGCCTCTCTGTCAGCCAAGGAGGCTGCCTTGGGGCTGGCAGAGTGGGACCAGACTCACCGCAGAGCTGTGGAAGTCCTCTGTGCAGGCTGCCTGCAGCTGGCTCTGTGGCCCTCTTCTCCCTCGGGCCCCACTGCTTTCAAGAAATACGTGGGTAGAAGAGGTCCCGGCCATGTTAAAATACTGGTCCCCAAACCAGACCATGGTGACTGTTAATTCCTTTGACAACTACCATTATCTTTGTCTTTTTGCTGGTGTAGGAATGGGTTTGGAAGGAGGGGTGAGCCCTGCTGGTAAGAGATAGACAGACAGACAGACAGATGGGGTGAGGGTATGGATAAGCAGTGGAGAGACAGAACCAGACATCAGGCCTGGAGTCCTGAGACCTAGCTGCATCTCCTGGCCACGACACTAAGCAGCTGTTACCTCCCTGAACCTCAGTTTCCTCACCTACAGAATGGCTACAATAAAAACATAGCCCCTTTCTCACAGGGACAGATAAGAAGGATAAGGTACTTTAAAAACAGAATGTATTTTAGAATTGTCAAATACTACTGTTATCAAGTACATAAATAAAGGCTCCTGATTTTTCAAGCTTGGAAATCTGGTTTCTAAATTTAGTTCCTTTAAGGACAGCAAGGGAGGTACAGGTAGGAACAAGAAACAGAAGAAGAGAACTGCTCGACCCCAGGAAAACCATGGGGCGTGACTGATAGTTGGCAATGGAGAAGCCGCTAGAATCACCAACAGCAGTCTGGAAACTACACTGTGAAGGTGAACTGGCATAAAACACCTTAGCATGAACCAGAGACATAAAGGGAAAAAAATCACCATTTTGCAGTGTGCTCTGTTGAATTAGGTTGGAATGGGATGTTGGTTAAGAAATCTCTTAGACTCCACTAATATCTATACTTTCAGCAAATAAGAGCATTCAAAAAATTATTTAACCAAAAATGTCCCATTTCCTGATAACATAGTACCACCCCATCTATCACCCAGCACATCGTTATCTTCATCATTATTATTATCATTATTGTCACCAACTGTGGAAGAGCACAGCAGGAAATCCTTCTCCTTCCACCCACAAAAAATATACCCCAGGCAGGTCTTGGTAAGTCTCTATAGGTTTCAGACTAGAAAAAGCTGGACAACACTATTCTAATTAACTCTTCCATCAGCCTCCAACTCCCCAAAAATCAGACTCAGTTTTTTTTGCACAGGAATACATGTGAAAATGGCAAGGGCAAGCTGTGTTGTGAATTTAGGCAAGAGTCAACAAGTGGATCATAGTTTCTCGTTTAGCTGGAAAGAGGGCAGAAGGATGACAACTTCTGAGGATGCTCCAAGCATGTCATCTTCCCAGGAAATGGGAAAAGAAAGATAGAGCAAGCCTAAAGATTAACCCTCCAAAAGGCAGCAACTGAACTGAGGTGAACTGTCCACATGGCAGTGGACAACCATCCACAATTCTAAATTACCACCTTAAAACTCTTGTCTCTCCCACTGGGAATCCAAACATTTCCCAGGAAAAGGAGTATTAACCACATTTGAGATGAGGGATTTTTCTCATATTCAGAAAGGGGCAGCAGTGCGAAGAGCAAATCAGAAAATACACAGCATGCTCCCAGGTACAACGTGAAACAAATTCTAATATACTTCACATGCTGTGGCATACTTATTAGTTTTTGTTTGGTGATGCCATGTCCTAGTCAATGAAAGAATGTTAAAAATGTTATCTAAAGCTCATGCCCTAGAGATGAAGAACACTTGATCTCATGCTAAAATCCCTTTTAAAAAATGGAAAGTTATGATCCTCGAGGGCTGTTGGAGAAGCATCAATTTAACACTCCAAATTTAAATAGTTTTTACTAATACTATATATAACATGAAGTTTACAAAAACTGGAATGCATCCACTTTAGCTCCAGAAATTAAAGCTGGAAAGAAATGACCTCACATTTCACCCTATGATGAATGAATCCAAATCAGTTTCAAAAGTCAAAATCAAGCTTGGAACTCCCATCACTTTTGGAGTCATGATTGATCTATAATCTTAATTTTCTATGCTGTAGCATCACCTTTTAGAGGTAGTGGTTCCCAAAATAGGCTATGTACCAGGATCACCTAAGGAGATGCCTAAAAATACAGATTCTCAGGCCCCCATCACCGAAATCAATCATATATTCTCTTCTACATTAATTCATTCTCTCTTTTCCCCCTCCACCTATTTTTCCATCCCTCCCCCAACTTTTTCGTCTCTATCCATCTCTTTCTCTTTAAAATCTTGAATAAACTTGGCATTTGGGAAATACTGTACCACAAAATAAGCCTCAACATTATATTGGTTTCTCTGTTCTGACTTTAAACAAATAAGCCTGGGATGACAGCTAGCTAATCACAACAAACGATTTTTATTCAACTTGCGAGTGAGAAAATAGTAAAAGAGAAAGCTGCAACTTTTTTCATGTCCTCATGACCAGAGCTCCGATTAGCAATGCCTCCCTCCCATAACCACTTTGTTTTTAACTAGGCTCCTCTTGGTTCAATGATGGCTCCATCAAGAGAAAGCTGAGGACACAGGCCCAGGTTTTTCATGGTTCCACAGACATAGTTCTGACTCTCCAAAAAACAAGACAAACACAACTTTAATTTTTCTCCTTGGAATTCACTCCACACGTAAGCACATACACTTGCTGAAAATATTTGAGATTTTTGCTCTGGAAATGGGAAATACCACATCTGAGTCTCCAGTTGATCCACCCCATCAGTTCCTTACCCTACACAGAAACCACAGAGGTTTGCTGAAATCATCTCAACTCCAAGCCTTCTCAATTTTACATTTAGTAACAAGATCCTAAATTCACAATGAGTGATTCTTTCAGTGAAACCTAAATTCCGAATTTAAAAAGAAATTACCCTCTTCTCATACCCGAAAAGAGAGAAAGGATAAATAGCCAAAAGGTTTCCTGGTAATATAACACAAGACAAATATTTAGAGAGAAGCAGACACACTATCACAGAGATAGCAATAGTCTACTCACTGAAACTTCCTAGTTTTTTTAGATTAAAAATAATAACATAGAAAGTATAAGAAAATGGTTTTCTCCTACCTGGATCCTCAGACATGTCTTTTGGTAACGCTTCATTGATAGTACTTTTTGAAGCTAGTTATGATTTTGTTTTTAAGAAACAAAAAGAGAAGAAAAAAATTATTTTAAAATTTTTCGAGGCATATTATAATTAAAACAAAGAATTCCTAGTCATCACTTACAAAAGCAGGTCTTACAACCCTCTAGAAGTTGCTGTAGCATTTACTAAAACAGTAAAAACCTCCTGGAGTTTGAAAATAGATTCTCCTACAGAGAGCAAAGATACATTTTCAACTTTCTAGAGAGAGCGCCTCTAGTGGTTATGAGGAATATTATCAGAAAGTATCAGGAATTTCCTCCTCTCATTCCTGACATCCAGACCAATAACATGAGAATCCCTGAGAATGAAATCCAGGCTTCAATATTTTTATAGCTCGCCCAGTTATTCCACTGTACAATCAAGGCTAATATCTGCCATTTAGGAGACTGATCAGAGTACATATTGCTGCAATGTTTAGTTCCGCCTGACACTCCTGAGCAAGTATTTAGAGAGAGTGCAATTACCGTTTCTTAATAGAAACTTATTTTTCATGTTTAGCCCCCATACAATGCTGGATCAATGATAGGCTCAACAATAAAACCTGAGATAGCTTCACTGATTTTTAGACCCTTCAAATAAGCCTCTCATTCATGGGTAGTGAATCAATATCAGATAACAGACAGAATACTGGCTGGAGGCTTAGAGAACTTTGGTTCTTGTCCCAGCTCTTTTCCTTAATAACTAAGCAAATGAGTCATATTGTCTAAATTTCAGTTTATCCATCTCTAAAGCCCAGGTAATAAAACATACCAGCCTCCATTCAGTTTTGTGAGGACTGAATAAAACAGTGTATGAGAAAGGACCTGGTAGATTATAAAGCATTATTCAAAGTATGGGGGTGGGGAGAGAGTCTCTCCTATACGTCTAGATATTCCTAGGTCAATTCATCCCTGTGTTTGATGGTAGTTCTAACACAGAACACCATGCTGCACTACCTCTCAGTCACACAGTAAGATAGGCAAATTGTAGCTGAGTTCCATGTTACATTCTGATACCCACAGAGCCACCAAAAAACAGATAAAGCCCAAAAACAGAAGTTCCATCTGGAAGAGAACTTTCTCATAAATTAGACCTGTGTGCAAATGAGCATCTACATTGATGTCTGGGATCACATCTGCCAACACAAGTTGTTAAGCTGTCAATTATTACAGATTTCAGTCATTTCCTAATTTCTACAACCAGATTTCAATGTAAGGTGTCCGAGTAGCCTTAGGGTCAGCAGTAACTAAGGGGCCAATGAGTTGTAGGGCTTTGGACACTCAAGTTCTTGCTTGCTTCCACTTTAAAAACTATTGTTTTGTGACAACAATTTGAATACTTGACTTATCCAAATGTGTTTACATACTGAAAACTGCCCTCATGTGCTCTAAAAGCCAGATATTCCGGGGGAAGTGGATAAAGAAACAGACACAGAATGTCCATAAAAGGAAAAAACTCATTCTTTTCATACCTTGTTTGTCATCATCAGTCACATCTTGGGTAGGGACAGGGAAGTCGGCCATGTCTTTAACAGATGTCTTCTTTGAAAAGAAAAGTAAATGAATTACACAGGTTGGAATGGAAATTGAGTGATATGCACATATAATGGAAATATTTTCAAAGCTAGTATTGACTGGGCACAGTGGCTCACGCCTGTGATGTCAGCACTTTGGGAAGTCAACGCAGAAGGATTGCTTGAGCTCAGGGGATCAAGACCAGCCTGGGCAACATAGCGACACTTTCTCTCCACAAAAAAATAGCCAGGTGTGGTAGTATACACCTGTAGTCCCATCTACTGGGAAGGCTGAGAAGGGAGGATCACTTGAGCTGAGGAGTTTGAGGCTGCCATGGGCCATGATCATGCCGCTGCATGTCAGCCTAGATGACAGAGTGAGATCCCAACTCAAAAATAAAAGCAATTATTTCTTGCCAACATTTCTGTCTTCAGTAAACCCTAACATTTAACACTATTCTATTTTTTTAGGTTCCTAGGTTCCTAGTGAGGTATAAGTAAATTTGTATTGAAATTTTACATACACAGAGGGAAGCAATAATGTTTCATATCAAGGTAAATGTATTAAATCTGAATCTGAATTGGGATTCAGTCAGAGAACTGTATAGCATTTGTCCATTCAGCCAAGAACAAACCTGTGCTTAATGTGTTTTTACACAAGCAAAAAGAAGTTCTGACACGTGGCCCCAAAATGTGTGTATTTGCTAGGCTCTGTCACACAAAGGGTGTCCAACCCTGACTAAAATAGCCTCCATGTTGTGGAATAAGATAATTTTTTTGATGAGAAGATTAAAATGTTCTCCTAACTCACATATGAATAGCGGATTTAGTATGAATTGGTTTTAAATTGTTTAAAATCTACTTACTCTCAATTAACATGCATTTTAACTATAGTTAATAACAATGAATGGTATATTTGAAAATGCATAAAAGAGTTGATCTTAAATGTTCTCACTACACAAAAAAATGTGAGGTGGCCAGGCTTGGTGGCTCAGCCTGTAATCCCGCGCCTTTGGGAGGCTGAGGTGAGTGGATTGCCTGAGCCCGCGGGTCCGAGACCCGCCTGGGCAGCGAGACCGTCATCTCTACAATAAATCAAAAAATTAGCCGGGCGTGGTAGTGCGTGCCTGTAATTCCGGCTACTCGGAAGGCTGAGGCGGAAAGATCGCCGGAGCCCAGCAGGTCGAGGCTGCGGTGGCCGGGAGCGGCCACTGCACTCCAGTCTGGGCGACAGGGGGAGACTCCAACTCAAAAAAAAAAAAAAAAGTTAAACACAAAGTTATGATACAATTCAACAATTTCACTCTTAGGTATCTATCTAAGAGAGCTAAAAACATATATCAACACAAAAACTTATATGTTCATAGCAGCATTATTGATAATAGTCAAAAATGTAAACAATCCAAATGTCCACAACTGACGAAAGGACAAAATATATACATACAATGGAATATCATTCAGCAATAAAAAGGAATGAGGTGCAAATACATGCTATGCCATAAATGAAACTTGAAAACATTACACTAAGTGAAAGAAGCCAGTTACAAAACACTATATACCATATAATTCCATTTATATGAAATGTCCAGAATGGGCAAATCCAGAGACAGAAAACAGATTATTGATTATCAGAGGCTGACAGAGAAGGGGGAATAGGTAGTAACTGCTAAATTGAAATGATGAAAATGCTCTAAAATTAGACTATAGTGATGGTTGAACTGTTCTGTTAATATAATGAAAACTACTGAAGTGTATACTTTAAATGGGTATGGTCAACATATTATTAACACAATAATTAACATATGTCAGTAAAGCTGCTAAGGAAGAATATACCTGCAATCTGTAATCCTTGATGGAAATAAGTACATATTTACAGCTCTGCTGTCTTTAGAAAAAGATGTACTGGAGGAGGGGCAAGATGGCCACCTAGAAGCAGCCAACTTGTGCCTCTCTCATGAAGCAAATCAAGGAAGAGAGAGATTCCCAGCAATTGGGCCAAGATGAGATGGAGGACGTACCCTACAACCCACAGAGGGACAATAGGACCCACAGAGAACAAAGGAGAAAGAATGGGCAGCCAGTTTTGGAGCCAGGAAGCGCAATCCTCCCCCCACCCCATAGCAGCCTCTGGATGCAGGGAAATGGTGAGTGCTGGAAATCAAGAACTCAGTGCTCCCACCACAGACTGAAAAGATCCCTCGAACCTCACGGGACTCCAGTCCCACACAGGAAATGGCCTGGATACAGCACAACTGCACGCTTCCAGAACCCACGTGGAGCCGGGAAGCCACTCAAGCTCTGAACACCTGTGGCCGAGCTATCCTCCCAGAGAACTTGATCCCTGTAGGCTGCGTTCTGTGGCCAGCTTCCTGACCAGGAGTTAAAGGGAAGTCCAGATGCTTTCATTTGCCCCAAGGGCAAATCCCGCTGCTGCAAGCAGTTTCTGTCTGGGCAGTTTCTGTCTGGGGCAAGCTGCAGCGAGAGACCCTGTTGCTAAATAAGCTTTTGAGTTCTCAACATGGACAGCCTCTGGCAAGGGAAGGGGAGCCAGGAGGAACCCTGTCGCCCTGGCAACTCCTCTCTCCCCAGTGAACACTTCAGTGCAACAGACAGCTCCACCATTCCTGCAGCACTGCCACAGTAGCCAGGGGACCCCTCCTTGCTCCTGATTTCCACTGGGTATGCACAAGTGGGGAGCTGAAACATGGGCCAGTCAGACCCAGCCTGCAGGAGAAACCATGCTACTGAATGAAACTTTCAGATCTAAACACACATAGCCTCTGGCAAGGAAAGGGAAGCTGGGAGAAACTCTGTAGTCCTGGCAACTTCTCTCTCCCCATGTGAACACTTTTATACAACTGTGGTGTGGCCACAGTGACTAGGGGACCCCTCCCCGCTCCTGTTTCTCTGAGGTAACTATTTGGGTGTACAGGCAGAGAGCTGGAGATCGATCCAATTTGATCTAGCCCACTCCGAACAGTTTCTCTCCACCCTCCAAGAGCCAAGCCCCTAGAACACCCAGGGATGGGGAAATTTGGACGTTCTCATTGCCCCACCCATCGCCTAGGTCATCTGTGTACTTCCCTGGAGCAACAAAGGCCAAGCAGAAAGGCCACAGGCACCATACAGCTGGCTATCTCCTGCAAACGCCACCTCCTGGTCAGACAATAATATAGCCCCCTTAAGAAGGAGATAAGAACAAAACCCTTGTCACTGCACATCTCACAGACTAGTCCACAGACGGAGGCATCAGAGAGCTTCTCCAGAGGGTTCTACAGAGATGTCAGTGACCAACACTCCTTAGAATTCAACCCTTGTGCCTTCAACAGATCCCTTGCAGGTGCCCATCAGTACCAGCTGAATGGTGGCAGCCTTTTGGGGCAGCCAGTTCCAGAAGATCAGCAGAACTCACAGTGGTCAGGCCCTCATGGATCACCACTCCCAGGGGAAGGGAGAGTGCACCACAACAGGGAAACACACTGTGGAGCAAAACTTAACAAAGTCTTCAGTGAATCTCACTGGATGCTTCCCCAACTGCTTCCATCAGGGCCGAGGCCTCTGTGGGTGCACTGCTTACAACCAACCGCAGTTGCAACTAGTTCTCCTTTACAAGTGCCTCCTTAGGGCCTGAAGGTTCAACCCAGAGAGAAGTACCAAGAAAGAACAAAGAGCACACCATGCTACTGGGGAACAAGATAAGCCTCATTAATACTCTGGCATTCTAGACCCACAAGAGACAGTAAACCTACACAGATACCCAATACCTGCTACCACAAACAGCATCTGAGAAAGTCAATGCACAAAGATTCTCTATAACCAAGGAACACATTCAGAGCTTATACCACTAAAAGCACCAAGAGCCAAAACTAGATGAGCATAAAGTATACACTTTACAGTCATATCTTTAAGGGAAACAAAACAAGACAAAATTGAATCAAAAACAAACTTAATAATAAGAAATAATATACTCAAGTGAGAAAGAACCAGAAAAATAATTCTGGCAATTTGAAAAAACTGTTTTTTTAACTCCCCCAAAATACCAAACTAATTCTCTGGTAATGGATCCCAACCAAAATGAAATATTTGAAATTCCAGAGATAGAATTCAGAAGGTTGATTATAAAATTGCTCAATGAAATCCAAGAGAAAATTGAAAAACAACATAAATTTTAAAAAACCATTCAGGACATGGGTGAAAAATTCTCAAAAGAGATATATACTTAGAAAAAAAATCTGAACTTCTGGGAATGAAAAACTCAGGGAAGTGCAAAACACAGTGGGAAGTTTTCACAGTAGACGGGACCAGATAGAAGAAAGAATATCAGTACTTGAATAACAAGGCTTTCAAATGAAACCAATCAGATAACAATAAAGAAAAAAAATCAAGAGAACAGAGCAAAGCATCCAAGAAATGTGTGATTATGTAAAATGTCCAAACCTAAGAATCATAGGAGTTCCTGAGGAAGAAAAGAAAACTATAGGTTTAGAAAATCTATTTGAGGAAATAATTGAGATAAACTTCCCTGGCCTTGCCAGAGATTTAAACATTCAGATACAAGAAGCATGAATAACTCCTGGAAGATTCATTGCAAAAAGGTGATCCATAAGACATACAGTCATTAGGTTACACAAAGTTAATGTGAGGGAAAGAATTCTAAGAACAGTGAGACAAAAACAACAAATAACTCTTAAAGATAAGCCTATCAGACTAACAGCAGACTTCTCAGAAGAAATCCTACAAGCCAGAAGGAATTGGGACCCTATCTTGAATCTCCTCAAACAGAATAACTGTCAGCCAAGGTTTTTTTTTTTTTGGTTTTTTTTTTTGGCACGTAAAAAAAATTATTATGAAGAAGTGAGGTACAATTCGGGGTTAGGTATACAAACATTGATCATGTAGATACCCTTGTTGATGAGGTATGCCCCTCCCTCCTCTAGCAGTTTCCCTCATCTGCCAATTGCTTTCTTATAGCATTATAATTGTTCAAGGTCTGCTTATGAGTGAGAACATATGGAACTCTGTTCTTTG